GCAGGGATAAGTTGGACCGCAGGGTCTGTATCCATGCTGTACATCTCTATGACTCTAAGAGATATTTAGTCTATGGAAATCTCTTTTGCACAATAGAATGGAAGTTGGGTCAATTGTTGAATATTTTCAAAGCTGAGTTAGGCAGGTTTTTGATTGACAAAGAGTTTTGGGGATAGGCAGTAATGTTAAAGCTTATAATCAGTTCAATCATGAACAGATTGAATGGGGATAAGTTTGAGGGGCTGAATAGCTTGCCCCTGCTGCTATTTCTTCTTGTACTCTTGACAACCAACTGAATACTTATTTTTGAAATGTAGTCATTGTTGTAATGTATGAAATGCAACTGTCAATTTGCATGCAGCAAACTACTGGTGGCACTGCTGCCTCACAGCGCCAGGGACCTGGGTTTGTTCCCACCCTTGGGTCACTGTCTGTGTGGAGTTTGCACATTCTCCCTGTGTCTGCGTGGGTTTCCTCTGGGTGCTCCGATTTCCTCCCACAGTCCAAAGTTGTGCGGGTTAGGTGGATTGTCCATGGAAATTGCATCGTTACAGGGATTGGAGAGGAGGTATGTCTGGGTGGGATGCTCTTCGGAGGATTAGTGTCGACCCAATAGGCTGAATGGCCTGCTTCCATACTGTAGGGATTCTATGATTCTATGAAACACCCCATTAAAACAATATTATGGACCAGACCAAACACCCTCAAAATATATCAAGTTGATAGCCTACACCCTAACTTTTTATTTTCTTTAATGGTAAGTGTAAGGCGCACTGTTCCAGATGTGATTCGATTGGTCCACTGCTAGGCTTTAAGAGAAACACACATTACTCCTAAACACAGTTAAAATACAATCAAAAAAAAAATTGGCATAAATTTAACTCTACTGAAATACTCAATATAATAATATGTTTTTTATCTACTGATCATCCACCGTTCCTTTATAGGACATAAAACCCACACTTGGTAAAGGCAAATTCAGCAAAACAGACTTTCCTCACATGCTATCTCCCTTCTAGTCCAGGAGAAAGGAACACCAAAAGAAAAAATCTCACAGCAGAGAGAAAACTCAAGTTTTTTGTTGCAGCAGAGACAGAGCTGTATCTAGCAGCTTCAACTCCAAACCCCAAATGAAAGCAAAACTAAAACCCTGGGTCTGTGTGAGCCTGACTCCACCCACTCAAGCTTCTTTTGTCTAATTATAAAAAAAAATCTCACAGAGCTTGATGCTGTTTGCCCACTGCTTCTGAAGCAGATATTCTGTCACCACTGTGGTAATACCTCCCTGCAACAATGCCATCACAAATACAATACTCTAATGACCAGATCATCTGTTTTTAAAGTAATGATTTAGGATAAATATTGGTCAGTACACTGTGGATACCTCCACCTTTCTTCTTTGCAATAATGCCTTGGAATATTTTACATCCACCTGAGTAGGCAGATAGAACTGAAGTTTAACATCTTTCCCAAAATGGCATCTCCAACAGAGAAGCACACCTTTAGGATTGCAATGGTCTTGGTATTTACAAGTCCTGGAGTGGGCCATGACCCAGAACCTTAAGTCACAGAGAAGAGAGTGCAACCATCTGAGACACAACTGAAAGAAGTGCCTCCTTCGCTGAATGATAGATGGCAGCTCTGGTGGTAATAGGGAGGTAGGGAACAGATTTGATAGCATCTTTTGTACCTCCTTTTCAGGTCCAAGCTGCAGACTGTTATCCCATTCTTAGTGAACAGTCATATCCAGACCCCAAAGGAATGGTAACAGCTAGATGTCAATGAACTTATCATTTCTCAAGATCAGGAACATCTGGCCTTGCCTTTGGACCACAATGCAAGTAACACTTTGAATACCCTTTATCATCTCTACATCATTTCAGGGCTTGGGCCCATTATTTGGATTATAATTTCTATTCTAGAAGCTTTTATGTGGTATCTCAAAGTTTCACATTCGTAAGAAACTGCAAGACCAAAAGGTTATGCTTAATTTATTTTAATTCTTTCACAGAATTTAGATGTCACTTGTTAGGTCAAATCTGTTGCCCTTTCCAAATTGCCTTTGAGAAGGTTTTGATATGAGTTTAAAAAAAGAATGAAAAGGCTTGTTCTGAGACATAAATCCCTATGTTCTATAGTCGCCCATAGTGCAATTAATTTTAGAATTCTCTTTTAATCAATTAATATTAGAATTCTCTGTTAAATTGGCTGTTTCAATTAAAACATTGAAAAGAGCAAAATTAAGCTGACTGGGTTTGATTCTGTTTAATATTTAGCAGTTGTAGCCAGAAGTATTAATCAAGGTGTCTTTTAGAATTCATTGGTGAAAGAGGCATGAAAAAGTGAAGTCATAATTGAAAATACGTCAATGTAGCAGGAGGCTTGTTGAAGTAAGTGTTGATGTTCTGAGACCTTGTGCCTTATTGATTCAATACACAATCAATTTATTTTTCTCCTTTAATACATCATCTCAATCAATAGCTAAAGAAAAGCTAAATTTCCACTCAATGGGTTTTGTAGCATTCTGAAACATATATAAAAAAAACAAATTGGCAACACACAGTAGCAACAGAGATCAGAAAACGAATGTTAGTGATTACAGGTTGGTAATTACAGTTCATGATAATAGCAGACTTAATAGCATTCTGCTGTCTGCTATTTTAACATACGTTACTACATCTAATGAGACAGTGTGCAAAGGAACATTTTATGATCCCATTATGCAATCATCCAATGTTACTGCTGACGATAATTTCTCTCATGCATTTTCTACTGAACATGGCAGGATGCCCAAAGCCCCACATCGTAAAACATATAATTTCATCATAGGGACAAGGGTGAGGAGGAAACAATATTCACTCTCCACTGGCTTCCACACAACTGTCAGCTTGTTTTTAAAGAATACAGTTATTATTCAGTGCATAATACACAGAGGAAACATTCTCCTAAATGTGGAAATAGCAGGCAAAACTTTAGTGTTATCATGGTTTGTTACTCTTTTCCTGGAATTATGTCTGAAAACTGAGAAAGCAGCCTTGTTTATTATCAGAATTGAATGAAGCTACCTTCATGATGGGCCAAGGACCATCAGGCGCACCAGAAAGCCCTCATCCATTGATCTGGTGTTCACAAGTTTGCAAACTCATGCAAAGATAATGCAGCCAGGCAAGATGTTTCTCTGTACACAATAAAATTATCACCATTCAAGCCAATGGTAAAGGGAGGATGATATACTGAAGCTCACAACCCAAGGTCCAGTGCTGCATCCAGTGACAATAGCCCAGATTGATCTTCTGAATGCTTGATCTTAAATTGTTAACTACCTCTTTATTATACTGGATAATGCCAATATCTTTTATTGGACCCTGAGGCTACAGTTTTGTGTTCTGTTTCTGTGTCATTACAGTTTGTTTTTTTTATTGTCTATTCACTGTGATTGTGGTACAATGAGGTTGATGTAAATTGTGATGGTATAACTGATGACAACACTCAGACATCAATAAGAGTAGACCCCCCAGTCTAGAATGAACATGTAAACTGAGAGGTCATTAGGCTGATATGAGTTTTAGAGGGACGTTTATTGACGAGAGGTTGAGTATGTTGGGCCTGTCCTCATTGGATTTTAGAGTCCAGGATCAGACAGCATCATCTCAGAAAAAAAGGGTTGCATATATAAGACATGAGAGATGAAGAGGAACAAAAACAGAAGTTGCTGGAAAAACTCAGCAGGTCTGGCAGCATCTGTGAAGAAAAGGATCAGAGTTAATGTTTCAGGTCCAGTGACCCTTCCTCACGACTTAGTTCTGTGGAAGGGTCACCGGGCCCGAAACGCTAACTCTGATTTTTTTATTCACAGATGCTGCCAGACCTGCTGAGCTTTTCCAGCAACTTCTGTTTTTGTTCCTGATTTACAGCATCCGCAGTTCTTTTGGTTTTTATTTAGAGATGAGGAGGTAACGAATCTGTGGAATTCTTTACTACAGAGTAGTGTCAAGGCTGGCTTTTTAAAAGTATATTCAAGGCTGAGATAGATTTTTTATCAATAAGAGAATCAGGGATTCTATGGTAGTGGTAGGAAAGTGGAGTTGAAGGTTATCAGATCAAACATGAACTTATTGAATGGTAGAGTTGACTTGATGGGATGAATGGCCTGCTTCTGATCCTATGTATTACAGTCTTCCAGAAGAAAGCGACCTAGAGGTGCAGATACATAGTTCCGTGGAAGTGGAGTTACAGGTCAATAGGGTAGTGAAGAAAATGTTTGGTATGCTTGCCTTCATTGGCCAGTGCATTGAATATAGGAGTTGGGAAGTTATGTTGCAGCTGTACAGGACAGTGGTTAGGCCACGTTTGGAATATTGCATTGAATTCTGGTCTCCCTGCTACAGGAAAGATGTTGTTAAACTAGAAATGATATAGAAAAGAATTTACAAGGATGTTGTCCAGACCGGAGGGTTTGAGTTATAAGGAGAGGCTGGATAGGCTGGGACTTTTTTCCCTGGAGCGTCCGAGGCTGAGGAGTGGCCTTATAGACATTTATAAAATCATGAGGGGCATGGATAGGGTAAATAGACAAGGTCTTTTCCCTAGGTCAAGGGAGTCCAAAACTAAAGGTTTAAGATGAGAGGGGAAAGATTCAAAAAAGTGTCAACTTCTTCGCACAGAAGGTGGTGTGTGTGTGGAATGAGCTACCAGAGGAAGTGGTGGAGACTGGTACAATTACAGCATTTAAAAGGCATCTGGATGGGTACATGAATAGGGAAGGTTTAGAGGGATATGGGCCAAATGCTGGTAAATGGAACTAGTTAAGTTTAGGAGACCTGTTCGGCATGGACAAGTTGGACCAAAGGGTCTGTTTCTGTGCCATACCAGTCTATGACTCTGTGACCCTGTGACCTGAGCCCTCTGTGATCTCAGTACACATCATGGAGCAGCATAACGTTGCAGACAGGACAGGTGATAGGACATCCTTGGGACGGTGCCATCAAGGTGGATCTTACAGGTTCCTGCTGTATCAGGAAGGGCCTGTAGTGGAGAACAAGGGAGCAACATTAAGGATCATATATTACATTCACAGGGAGATGATCCTTAACATAATGTGTGTGTTCACATGCCTCCTTGGTGCCCATATGCTAGCACATAGTTGGTAGCTTTTTCCGATTTGTTAGTGGCCATTTCAGCCTCACTGCCTGTGAGCTTCAGAGCCTCCTCCTCCATGTGGAGTGAGAGGCCTGAGGTCGGGAACTCCACCTCACGCCCTCCAGCTCTCCCTGACATTGTCAGCATGCTTACCCTGAGCAGAGCTAGCGACATATCGGGTAACACGCAGCCCCCTTGTCTGGGCAATATCCTCATCAAAGAAATAGCTGGCCTGCCACTCACACGTGGCACCCAGTAACCTCCAGCCTCTTTAGCCTCAATTGGCTCGGAGATCACTCACCTGGCACTGCCACCCACTCACAAATGTGAATTAATTGATGGCCGCCATGGGACACCCCTTGCTAAGATGCGATTCTGACAGCTACTGTCAAGCACAATTGTTAACCCATCTCCTAAGGTCATAAGAAACAGGAGCAAAAGTAAGCTATCTGGCCCCTCGAGCCTGCTCCGCCACTCAATAAGATCCTGGCTGATCTTTTCACGGACTCAGCTCCACTTAACCACCCACTCACCATAGCCCTTCATTCACTTACTCTTCAAAAATCTATCTTTGCCTTAAAAACATTCAACGAGGAAGCCTCAACTGCTTCACTGGGCAGGGAATTCCACAGATTCACAACGCTTTGGGTGAAGAAGTTCCTCCTCAGCTCCGTCCTAAATCTGCTTCCCCTTATTTTGAGGCTGTGCCCCCTAGTCTCACCCACCAGTGGAAACATCCTCCCTGCTTCTATCTTATCTAATCCCTTCATAATTTCATAAATTTCTATAAGGTCTCCCCTTATTCTTCTAAATTCCAATCAGCATAATCCCAGACTACGCAGTCTCTCCTCATAAGCCAACCTTCTCAACTCCGGAATCGACCCAGTGAACCTCCTCTGCACCGCCTCCAGTGCCTGTACATCCTTTCTCAAGTAAGGAGACTAAAACTGTACACCATCTGTCTCTTGCAGTGGGCCCACAGTTACTGACATCACCTGCCAGCTCCATGCAGGTTGCTTTGGTCAAGAAGAAGGGTCTTCAGTAGTTATTTGTGGAATAGAGCATCTTCCTCCTCTGGCCTGGAGGAGTACCCAGCAGGGGGTTGGAATGGGGAGGTGGTGAAGAGACATCACTAAGCTGTGGGTCTGGTTCTGAACCTGGTGCTAGCCATATTGGATGCGATGAGGTAATGGGCGCTGGTTGACAAATGGCACTAAATGATAAGGTGAAGAGTGATGAGGGGGAGAAGGTTTGAGGCAGGGCATGAGAGTTGAAGGTTTCTTCAAACACAAAACACATGAGGCCAAGAGGTTGGGCAGGAATGTTGTGGCCGTGATATTGAGCCTCCAGGTTTGTCCAAGAGGCCTGGTTCATTATCAGTTGGCCAAGGAATTGCATTGTGGTCAGGTGGCCAGCAGGAGAAGTGGTTTGAGATTGGTTAAGGGCTACAATCAAGCATGCTGGGAATTTTCGTCAAGCTAGTTTAAACTCTGACCTCAGTTAAACTACAACCAGGACATGTTGTAACCTGTAGTTTCCCAAGTTGAACAAATAAGTCAAATGGCATAGTGGTCTCTAGATATACTAATACCACTATTACTGGAGTATGGATTGTCACTGTTTATGGCTTGGTGTAAACATTTGGGAGTGGTTTACCAGTAAGTTCCATTGGCTGGGATCGAACGATATCATCAGGCTTTGATTAATTCATTGGCTGAATGCCAGAGATCTTTCTGGTAAGGAGCACATTTTAAAGAACAAAGGATTTTTTCTCAGAGCACATTGGAAAAGCATGTGCCCTGAATTTATTTTCAGAGAGAAGTCAAAGAACTAAGAGGCAAGAGCTATTAATCTTTGCAACCAAATCGATTTTGTAAACTAAACAACCCACACGGCAACACCAAATAAACTGAGGAAGGGACCTCATGCTGAAATGCCAAGCTGGGTTATGAGGCCCAATGGTACTGGCCCCACCCTCATCGCTGGAAGGTCAGAGGCGGCTTAGCCAGTGCTGCCATTTTACCCATAACTGGCTGCTGATTGGCTGCTGGCTGGATTCCCATCACTCAGGAACAAGAGGCCCAGCTCTCAGAGATCTGCCAGCCAATCCGGCGCCATGCAGCTCGCAGAGATCTGCCAGCCAATCCGACGCCGCGCAGCTCTCAAGAGCCAAAGACGCCAATGTGGTTCGCACTCAGGGCCTGAGGCAGCGCCCAGCAATCAAAGGGAAATCTGTACGTGTTTCGGGGTTCGAAAAGGAGGAGGAGAAAGTCAGCCAGGGCAATGGAGACTATCATTTCAAAAGTCTCTGAGGGTGGGAGAAGGGAAATGTTATAGCTTACAGATGCCCTCAAATGGTGCTCTGAGCAACAGTTCAGGTAGAACATACCCCTTTTCCTGCCACTACCTCATGCAGTCTCAGAAAACTGGCCCCCTGGTTGGGGTCTCAGGTTTAATCCTGCTCGAGGTGAGATGAGGCTCTCAAGTGGGCTTAAAATGTAGATTTAAGGGTCTCAATTGGTTCTCTGGTGGGTCAACCATCTGATGCGAACCCAACCACTGGTAAAGCTGCACTATCATGCAGCCCCTGCCTCACCTCCCCGCCCCCACCTTCAAACCTGCAAGTTGGACTGCGCTAGACTCAGTCCATGACCTCTCTTTTCTCTTGGGACAGATGCAGTTTGAGCTGCTGTGGCATTCCAGCACCTTTTTGTTCTCATTGTTGGATTCCCTGTCTCTGCGGAATTCTGTTCTTGCTTCGGGATTCTAAGTAATGCCAATGTTTTAGTTGAACAAAAAAAAACCCAAAGAACTGCAGATGCTGGAAATCAGAAACAAAATCAGAAATTGTTGGAAAATGTCAGCCAGACCCTTGAAGGGTAACTGGACCTGAAATGTTGACTCTGTTTCTCTCTGCACAAATGCTGCTGGACCTGTTTTTCCAGCAATTTCTAATTTTGCATTTTTTTTTTGTTGTCTGGTGCTCTGCTTTCTTCCCCTTCTCAATTTCAGGGGGAGTTGACATCTCGGTCAGGAGTGAGGCAAGGGCTGTGAATAATTAGGCACAAAGCAAGCAGGCATATTCCCAAGGCCTACTTTCATGTCTCGGAAGGATATTATTAAATTGGAGAGGGTTCAGAAAAGATTTACCAAGATGTTGCCAGGCCCGGAGGGTTTGAGTTATAAAAATGGGCTGGGACTTTTTTCACTAGAGCATAGGAGGTTGAGGAGTGACCTTATAGAGTTTATAAGATCATAGATAAGGTGAATAGCGAAGGTCTTTTCCTGAGGGTGGGGGAGTTCAACCCTAGGGGACATACTTTTAAGGCGAGAGGAGAAAGATTTAAAAGGAACATGAGGGCTAACATTTTTACAGAGAGTGGTTTATATGTGGAATGAGCTGCCAGGGTAAGTAATAGATGTGGGTACAGTTACAATGTTTAAAAGACATTTAGGCAAGTACATGAGCAGGAAAGGTTTGGAGGTATGGGCCAAACACAGGCAGGTGGGACTAGTTTAGTTTGGAAAATTTGATTGGCATGGACTAGTTGGACCAAAGGGTCCATTTCCATGTTGTATGACTCTATGCCCCTAGAAGTGCTACAATTTTACAACTGCCGCTTTGAGTCAGAGGTGTGTGAAACTTTCCTGCCCGTTGGCCAACTAAGCCTCTTCAGTATGCCACTAATTGTGGCTAATCTATACAGGCAAATAGCTTTCACTGTTCAAGCTGGTGGTTCAGAGGATGTGTGGGATGCCCCATTTATTTGCCCTTTGCAGCCACTGCACCATGCCATCCAATGTATATTCACTCCGACTGTATCACCTCTCTCTGGTCTCCCAGCAACATCTCCACTGCCCTTCTCCACCAGCCTGCAGTGCCCGAGCTAACCTCAAAATCCAGGGTCCATTGTTGAATAAAGTCCCCATTATCTGCAACCCAAGGATCTAGAATTGTCATGTAACAGCATTGGGGATTGGAAAGGGGAAAATTCTGACCACTTGAGGTGACTCGACTAATAGTGATCAGATCATAGAATCTCTACAGTGTGGAAACATGCCATTCAGCCCATCGCGTTCACACCAACCCTCCAAAGAGCATCCCACACAGCTCCCCCAACCAACCCCTGTAACCCTGCATTTCCAATGGCTAAACCATGGTAGGCTACACATCCCTGGACAATTATGGTCAATTTAGCATGGCCAAACCACTTAATCTGCACAGGTTTGGCATTTGGGAGGAAACCAAAACACCCGGAGGAAATCCAGACATGGGGAGAACGCACAAGCTCCACACAGACAGACCGAGGCTGGAATCGAACCTGAGTTGCTGGTGCTGCAAGGCAGCAGAGCTAACCACTGAGCCACCATGCCGCCCCATGGGGGTAATGGATTAGACACTTTATTAAAGCTAGTTCAAAAGTGACTTCATCGATAAGGATAGAATCACCGATTGCAGTCAGGTGCGGTACAATTTATGGGGATCGCTGGCCGCTTGTTTGTAAAACACACGTTCAGTCTGTGCCAGCAACAAATCATCATAGAATCCCTACAGTGTGGAAACAGGCCCTTTGGCCCAACAAGTCCACACCAAACCCCAGATCATCCCACCCAGGCCCATCCCCCCATAACCCACCTAATCTACACATCCCTGAACACTATGGACAATTTAGCATGGCCAATCCACCTAAACTACACATCTTAAATAGTGCTCTTCCAGCCAGTATTGGTATTTCCCATGAAACCAGCATGAAACCCCCCGAATCCCAGTACATGCCAGACAGCGGGGAGATTATTGTGCCTCCTTTTTATCAATTTCAAAAATATATTTTATTCATCAAAATGTCTTTATACATAGTCACTGAAGCAGTTCAGTTCTGTACTGTAGCCTCGAAGAAATATTGGTGTTTGACTCTATCCAGCAAAGTCAAGGCATTTCTTACTTGTACAAGATTATATTTTATAAAATTATGTTGTATTATTATATTTATAAATGTATTATAGTATATAAAATTATGAGGGGAATAGATAAGATAGAAGCAGGGAAGATGTTTCCATTGGTGGGTGAAACTAGGGGGCATAGCCTCAAAATCTGTGGAATTCCCTGCCCAGTGAAGCAGTTGAGGCCACCTCGTTGAATGTTTTTAAGGCAAAGATAGATAGATTTTTGAAGT